TGTGTGTGTGTGTGTGTGTGTGTGTGTGTGTGTGTGTGTGTGTGTGTTTGGGCGCTGTGAATGCGACAACGTTTTGAATAAGCGCCATAAAACTACTCGTCTAAGAGGAAACGCTAAACGGAAAATTATGTAGATGTTACAAATTTTCACATCGTCCCTTTTTCGTCGCTTTCCTCTCACAGTTCCGTTACCATCCGTTCGGAGTATACGTTTTTTTTATTCGTTTGCTTTTTCGCTTTCTCGCTCCGTTCCCCGTTCCCCGTTTCGGTTCTTTTCTTCACACTTGACATTGTTCTTATGTTCCCCACTTTGGTTTATGTGCACATTGTATGCATCTTCGTGGCGTTGAAATTATATGCAGAGGTATTAGTTTTTCTTTCACATTTTTTCCCACTTTCTTGACTGAAGATATTAGACTTCTTTCATTCCACTTTCATCTCCTTCTTCACTCGGTCTCCCTCTTCCATTTTCGCACACTCTTGTTAAACTACTCTGGTTTCATTCACAATTTATTTATATGTGTATAATTTACTTTTCATCCTCTGCTCGCGCTCTGTTCTTCTTTTTTTCGTATGGTTTCGCTGCGTTTTCTTTTCGTTTTTCTTTTTCAATTTCAAAGCTTTATCCAGGGCCAGTGTATGCATGACTCTCAACACACTGTTAATATTCTGTGAGAGTTTAACAGTTTTACGAAGTGAATGTCGAAGCCGGTGTCAGGCGAGAGCAACGAGTGCTTGTAATTGCCGTATTTTCTTCATCTTATATTATTTATGGCGCACACACACTTCTTTCTTTTCTCTATCTGCCTCTTTCTCCCTCTCCATCCATACAGTTGGTTCACTTTTTGTAAATATTTCAAAAACCTATTCCTATGCATTTGCTTATTTACTGCCTTTCGTCTGCACTTAACTTTTAGCTTCGTTCTGTAGCTATGCGTCCCTCGATGATATTGAATTGAAGCAATCGCTTTTTTTTCTTCTCCTTCATCGCTCACTACATACATATATGCGTGAATGTTACGAGGTGTACTTGATAAGCTCCCATCATTACAATTATTCCTCTTATTACATGTTGATTGCACCCTTTATTTTCTCTAATTTTGATTAATTTTTGTCGGATACTATAAAAATTCGTTTTTTTTTTTTACTTTTTTTCTTACAAACAAACTAAATGGCGAAGATCAATTTTTGTCTTCTTCCAAAAGCCTTCCTCAGGAGAAACAACAAGATTTCCTAAATGTTAGCCGTGTTGCCATATCTTATCGCAAGTCTTATACCTTGATTATCGTCAATGATTAATTTATCAAACGACCCGCGTTTTGTCGTTCACATTATACTTTTTTTTCTTCATTCGTTCGTTCGTTTTACATTCTTTGCCAGACTTCGTCGTCGTTATAATGTCATTCAAAAGTAAATTCTGCACACATCTCGTGCTAAACGCTACATAGTGTAATTAAAATGAATTTCTTATGTCACATAATATGACGTAAATCCAAGTCATCAATCACGTGGAAATTTTGCCAAAATATGCGTTAACGTGATTACGAGCAAAAGAGAGCGAGAGTGAAACGAAAGAGAGTCTGTAAATTGCTGCGTGTGGTTCGTGCTACGGCTGTCGCCGACAACGACGACTAAAAGACGAATGTTGCCGGTGGATATAAAGAATAAATGGCAGTAAATTCGCGCGCATGTTTCGCAAAATGAGTGCGAGAAAAATTATCGTTAAAGCTGAGAAAAAGAAAAATGCCAACACCGATAACCAAATGTCCTGAGAGAATATTTAGTGTTGTTGAAGGTTTTCGTTCGTGTGTATGTGTTGTGTTGCTGAGGTACGGTCTTAATGGTATTTCCATGCGTTTTGAATACAACGCATTATTTCATTTATTATGATGTAGTAGGCGCTTTTAAATGTATTGCGTTTGCGAATTCACTTCGGCTAAATGTAGAATTTTGCACCGTTTTTCTGCTGATGGTGAATAATATATAATGGACGAACAATGCCGTGTGGCTAACAGATCACAAAATGTTGCTCTTGCTTGGTAAATTGGCCGAACCGGAGAGATGGGAGAAGAAGAGTAAAAAAAAAAGAATTGGCACACTTTTTGTGCTGTCCTTTGAGGAATGGTATTGTAGAAAAATCACCTGCAGCTCAAGGCTGTGTTTGCACGTTGCTTCTAAGCACACAGAAAATGTGGTGACGATAGACAAAAATAAATCAGTTACATAATACCCAACATTATCTTCCGTAAATGCCGACAAGCAGTCGAGAGAGAAAATATCCATGCGATTACATCGTTTTGGATATACCCATTCGATATGGAGATAGTGCCGAGCAATGTGATTTTGCTTTTCGGATGACTGGATTAAAAGCGAACCAAAGTGTTTTTTCCTCTTTCTTTCTTCTTCTTCTCGTTTGCTAGAGAAAACTTTGCAGATTATCTGGATAGTTGGTGTTGCTTCCAATTTAGTTGTGTTCAAATGATTTAAATCATTTAAAATGAACAAGAAAATCGTGTTGGTGTTTCTCGTTTCGAACAAACAAAGAAGATTTTCATTGATACTCTCGTACGCCTGGCGAACATTGAAATCTAATCAAGCTCAAACGTCGTATTACTTTTCCCTTTGTTTGTCGACAGAAATAATGCATTTTCACATACATATACCTATGTATGCATATATAAAGCACACACACTCGTTCGAACATTGAATGAATGAGTATGAGCTCGTGCTCACGTGCATCCTCGATATTTCTCTTTTCAATTTCAGGTTTTGGATTCGGTTTCGTATTCGATTTGAATAGCATGCCATAATAATAATACTAATAAAAGAAGGAAATATCTATTTATCTGATGTACAAACGTGCCATGCTCAATGTATACGGGGCCAAACATTTATTGGTATGATCCCATTTCCTTGAATTTGTATCGCTCTTCCATTTTATTTCTATTCCACTCTCTTTCCATGCAACGCACACTAGCCACACATGGTCTCCTTTTTTTTTACCATGGCACTTATGCGTGTGTGTGTTTTTATTTTTACGAAATGTCTTAATAAGATGATTGAATTCTCTTACCCGGTCCATAAAACGAATTCCACATTATCTCCTTGCCTCGATTTCATCGCTTGCGTTGCTGATTCGAGTAAAGACCACGGGCTGTCGCACATATAGTCACCGAATCGACCAGGCGGTGGATGTCCAGAATTTGTTTGATGATGTTCAATATGCCAACAACCTGGATTTATAAAAACAACCATTCAATGAACGTACACATAAACATAAACATATTTTTTATTGCATTTCAATCACGTAACAAACGTTATGCGAACGAGACAGCAAAAAAAAAGTAACACAAAATGTATATGGGCGAAAAGCTTACAGCTTACTAAATATTGGCCAAAACGATTGAAATGAATGAAACGAATAAATATGAAAATGAACGGTGGAACGAAAAAAAAAAAATGGAATTGCATGAAATAACATTACAAACGAAACACAAACTGGGATTTCAAAATGGCATTTTTACGCCAGATTTGGCTGCAAATCGTCAATCGATTTTTGCATACGAAAAGTGAAAAAAAAAAATAAGTGAACAAATGGATAAAAACTTACTTTTTGCAACATCGCCTTTGGTCGAATACGATGTGTCCAGATGGAGGTCGGTTATATGCCAGAAGTAGCCTGCAAAGCAACCAGCCACAGAGAATGAGGCAAGAGAGGGAGAAAGAAAAAGAAAACATAACAAATTTTATATGATTGCATTGATTGAATATGTGTTTGTGTATTTTGTGAATGTGCTCAAGTGACGTGCGTAACTGATGGCTGCACGAAATACGATAAGCTGCAATCAAATATGGTATAATTAACATTTCTTTGAATAACTAATTCCAACGGTAATCATTGTTCAGTACGATGTGGCCAATGCCTCGAATTTAATTGAATAATGGCACATCGATCAAACTGTCAATATTCGCCACCGCTATCACTATCACGGTTTGGTTTACATGCTTTGGCGAACCGTAAATCGCCTTGAAAGCCATTCAAGCAAAAAAAAAAAAAAAAACGGAAGACTACGGCGGAGATTTGGGCTCTTCCTTTTGCTATTGCTGCTTCTAATTAGCCGATTACCCTTTAAAAGTGTGTCTTAAGCATTTAATCACAATTCATAGCTCTGTTTGTCGCTCAAAATCGGATGTGTTTCAGCAAGCGTGTATGACAAAGACAGCGGGATCGCATTATGGGTTTTATCTCATGGAAACGTTTTCGCAATGCCGGGCCAATATGCGAAACACGTGTACGTTTGCTAGTCAATTGTTTAAATACCATAAAAATAAGTACAGAGTAACACAAACACTCTATTTGCCATCGATACTTCGCTGCTATTCGTTTCATAAGTTCAAATGACTTGTGCATGTATGCACTCAACCGATAAGAGTAAGTGTTAGACATTGTGTGTGCTAATGTATTCAGGAGCGTTGTCAATATGTCGAGCCAACCAAATTCAATGAAAATATTATTCCAAATGGTGTATTTTACATTTATTGGATTGCAATTGTATCATCATTGTTGCTTTTCCATTACACCTTTTGCCGGTGCCAATCGTTTTGGAGATTCCTTTGCTCGTTCTTGGATCGCTTTTTGTACTGGAACCAACAATACTGAGGCATAAGCAACGATAATAAAAATGTAAACTCTGCGATTTATTTGCATGTAATAGTTGAAAAACACACGGAACCAGTGAAGAGTATTCAGAAGCAGGGGATAAAAATAAAGGAGAACAGAGAATGAAGCAGAAACGGATGAGCGAAAACGGTTAACGATGGAAACACTCTTGCTGTTGCTGTAAGGAAATGTACTACTTATAGAATACAATACTTTATAGCGCGGCCAATGCTAGCGGGCATGCATGCACGTATGTCTATCCGACGGATGGATCACTTTTCGTGCATTGAAGATTGGTAAGACTTTACTCGTAGCAGCAGCAGCAGCCTCATGAAATTTACCGACAAGTAAATATATGTGTAATGCCATTATTACATTGCAAACCGATAAATGCAAATGCTACTGAAAAATTTTACGGCTGCTTTACAGGCATTCGACTTATGTAGTCGGTGCTATTGCTGCTGCTCATGTTGTTGTTTTTGATGTTATTTGTGTTCGCCACTTAGACATAATATTTTTTAGGCTGCTCGGAATACGATGCGATAGAAATGTATATTTGGTTTTTGAATGGTCGACATGCGTGGTGGTTGAGGTGGAGAGCAGTGACGGGTGTCTGTTGGGGTGCTACATGAAAATGTTTTGTCTGTGCATATCATCACATGAAAAGTGTTGTGGTTGAACAGCAACAGCAACAAAATAAAAATTATTCCATTTTCCACCCATCTGTCTCTCACATAAGATACATGTTATGCGGTCGAGTTATCTTCGTTTGCTACAATTTTTGCTATGACTTGACAGTTGAATCTCGCCCCATGCATAGGTAAACACAATTGTTAACCTCTGCATACACACTTATGCTTCAATAGAAATGACTCAACTTTTTGGACATGCCCTCGAAATATACGCTTGCTTATTAAACATTAGTTTCCAAATGGTGTATACTCGTTTCAAAACCCATTTTGATAAAATACAAAATATTCCAACCGAGAGCTTATATACACGACGAATTAACTTTTTGGCACTAAACGACTAAAATTGTATCATTAGCCGGGCAATTTGGAGGAATCGTTTCCATTTCGGTACAATGCAGCACACTTGCATATCGCATTATTGACCGCATTCATCTCTTATGATGAGTTTCAACTACAATTTGTACGTTGGAATGCTCTCCCTCAAACATCATCGACAACAAACACTAAACCAACAAAAAAAAAGCAACCACCGAACGAAACCAAGCTGAGCAGCAATGAAATATATGCAAACGAAATGTTGAAATTGAATTCGCAGAAGGAAAAGTCAAATTGGAAATTGTTTTTTTTTGTAACGAATTCATCGTTGCCAAGAACTAGCACACGAAGTGTGTATGTGTGTGTGTGTGTGTGGGAGAGAGAGAGAAATTAAAGAGATTATTGAATTTTGAGATTCTTTCTGCCTCACAAATCACTAATGCATTTTCGTCGACTTCCTACTGAATATGCATCAGTGTTTTTGAAGGTATGCAGCATGCATTGAAATTGGTATGCAATCAAAGTTAAAAATATTTTATCCTCAGCAACAATGTACACGATTAAAAGGATTGCATGTGATTTTGTCTGATTTTGTCACTCTCACATTGCACCATTTTTTCTCGCCCACCCCTTCAGCTTCAGCCCGTGGCCACAATGATCATGTGGAGCGTGTGTGTGTGTGTGTGTGTGTGTATGCATGTGTTCAAAGTTGGCATTGTTCATTGCTGGCATTTTGTGTGCGCAGCGAGTGAAACTAAGCATGGCAAATGCATCAGTTGCACTTGTCTCGTTTAAGTTAGAATATTCACGTCGATGTAAAATCATACAATAATGAAAAAGCCAACATGAAAACAACCCCAACAAAACGAACGGGGTTAAAAATGTCGGAAGCAAAGTTGAAACCGAGAAACCAACTATAGGCCATAGGATGCAAGAGCGTTGCTTCCGATTCTCTTTCACACCCTTTCTCCCGTTCTCTCCATTTATATATACTGCCAAAGCAATAATACATGCACACCATTTGTGATACAGTGGAACCTCGGAAATTAGAAGGTTTTTGTACTTCGGGTACTTCTAATTTCTGAATTCTTCTAATTTCGGAGGCAATTTTTTTTGCATTAATTTTGCAGTTAAATGAACGAAATGACACTACAGTAACACCAGAACGAAATTCCCAAATAAAAATATATAGCTTTGAAACATACTTTTAACAAGATTCCAATATTTTTGATACTCTGCCTTAATAATTCTTTTCAATAATATTCCAATTAAATTAGAAGAATTATCAGACAAAACAATTCATTTATTTCGAGATGAAAGATTATAAAAACTATGGAGATTTATTTTTTTCCATAAAAAAACGAATGTAAAGTAAATTTGGAGCAATCCAAATCCAAAAATACAAAATTTGTTCATTTTCGGACGAAAATCGAACATATTTCCAGAAGATTTTGAGTTCAATTTGCTTCAAATCAGCCATGATTGTATATTTTAACGATGAAATGTTCCTAAAAATTTTCACTTTTAAATAGAATTCACATTAATATGTTTTGTTTCGAGATTTTGAAGCTGAGGCCCATAATTTTCGGAAAAAACCACAAATAGTGATTCAATTCCTTTGTTTCGTCAAGCAATTCCAATCGATACTTTGTTATATTTAAAATATTTTTCGTTCGATACAATAGCTGCATTGCATTAAATAGGCATTTAAAAAAGTACCTCTGAAATTAGAAGACAATCTTCTAATTTCAGAAGCAGCAATGGAGCGGAGAATTCTCTTCTAATTTCGGAGGAATTCGAATTTCTGGATCTTCTAATTTCTGAGGTTCCACTGTATGTCGATTGGGAGCGAGACAAAAAAAAATTGCATTCAACAATAAAGGAATATTAACAATGAAGAATGTAAATGCATAGATTGTATTATTGTATATAAAATGTACCGGGTGTCCCAGATGAGACGGTAAGTATTAAAAGTGAGATAGACAATTTCGAAAGATTTTACTCAGAATTAAGGATCAAATTCATACTACAGATATAATTCATATGCAAATTTAAAGTCTTGTGTTTTCCATAACAACATGTAACTTTCATCGAAGCATTTAATCTTATAGGCGCTTAGGCTGAAGGTTTGGACTGATTTTTACCGGAGAAAAGAAATGTTTCTAATACGTGTTCTTTCTTAACGGAACACTTTGTATCGAATATTTAAATGTGAAAATAGAGAAATAGCTGTGGTAAAAGCATAAACATTGTTGTCTACTGTTGCATATATCGAAAAATGTTTCTTTTACACCCGGCAGCCTCAATATTCGACGGGAATCCAAACAAACGATAGTACACTCATTCGCCCGCTTTGACTCTCTCTCTCTCTCTCTCTCTCTCTCTCTCCCATTTTCGTCCACCCTCTCTTTGCGTACGCATGTGTGCAATTTTAAAAACGTATTGTGCATATAATAATAATCCATGGTTGGATCTTTACTCGGATGAATAAATTTGAAAAGTTTTTCAATTTATGTACACGTCATGATTATTTGAAACGAACCCAACACCATTACCACCGCTCTCACATACACACAGACCGTAGCCAAAAGATGAAATTGAAACAACAGTGGTTGAAACAGAAAAAAAAAGAATATTGGAGAAACAATGCTTCATTCGCAACATAAGCCATTACAGTTTGCACATAATGTCTCGAATATGTGATGCAGTTCAATCGCTTTTTTGCTGCTGCATTTGGCCCCTTTTTTCATTTTCCATCAATGGCAGTTTCATTTTCATATTCGCTTAAAAGTTCGCTCCCTCTCTCCCTTACTCACTCATACATATATACGTGTTCTCTCATGGGCTCTTTGGCATAAAAGAAGAAAAACAGCTTGATGAATATTGATGAAGAGCTTTTTTTAGCCGCATGGATGCGTTCATTTCTGATTGAATGGGTTAAAAACAAGTTCATACCAAACAAATCTAAACATTTTCGAACAAACAATCTATCGTTCGCTTTACTTTCCAAGC